CCTCTCTCTCTCTCTAACTTTTTGTTCCTTCATACTTTCCCTCGTTATCTTCACCTTGCGGCACGATCTTCGGAATTCCGATACGTTCGATACGCATTGTCGATCGCGGGATTATTTGTTGTCGGCCATGGAAATGTTTTCCCCCTCTTCATCAACCCCCGCATGATTTTTCATTTGCGTCAGACTAGTCGCGGCTAGTCATCGTCTGTGCCATGCCTATGTGAATCTAGATCACAGACTACGGCGCACTTATTATTTAGTTTATGAGTGATGTAATAGGCAAACAGGACGGTGTGTACTTGAAATCGCAAATGTAATCGGCTTCTTACATCTATTATGCATTTTATCATATTATTGAAAGAAATCTTATGATAATTCGCAGATTCATGGCGAGGAGAAGGTCAGATATGATTGTTATATTATACGAGATTATTGCGGAATGTGTTGATCGAGGAAATAGCGATTTTTGGAAAAATCTCATCTATAGAGTCAATCTTCAATTTTAATTTTTGTAGTAAGCAGAATGGAATGTGGAATTAAAAATAGGGTAATTATCAAGAATACGCATTCAGATAAGCTTAGCATTTACATGTAGCGTATGAAAGATACATCATAAGTCGAAAATATTCTCGTTTCTCAATCTCTACGTATATTACAGAATTGCATTGATATTTGCTAGATGTCCTAAGAACCACGACGTGTCACGAAGAAAGCTCAGAGACAACTGTGTCTTGTATAATACGAGATTGCAGACTATTGTATTGAGATCGAAGGCATTTCTAGAAAATCTAATCTCTGGAGTTGAGAAATCTTTGATCTTAAGTTTCATTGGAAATAAAATTGGAGTATTATTACGAAATATTATTCAGATGGTAGATTAATTTATACATCCAGCATTTAGCATTGAATTTCTGAAAATACACCATAAGTTGAAAATATTCTCGTATTTATCGATTTCTATGTATCATAGAATGATATCATTCATAAGTGGATATCTGCTTCATAAGTGTTCTAAGAATAATATATCAAGAAAGCTGAAAGACGATTGGTCTTATACAATACGAGATTGCGACTTGAAATCGAAGAAACGCGTTTCTAATAGAAAATCTCATTTATAGAGTTGACAGACTCTCAATTTTAATCTTTATTGATAATAAAATTGAAGTGTTATTAAGGAAAACTATTATACAGATGATAGGTTCATTTATATATATTTATCATTGAATTTTTGAAAATTTACCATAAATTGAAAATATTCTCGTATTTAGTCTCATATTTATTCTATTTTTCCATCTCTACGTAAATTGTAGAATTGATATATCATTAATATCATTGATATTTGTTTCATAGATATTTTGAAAATAATGCATCACGATGAACAAAGCTGAGACGATTTGGTCTTGTATAATACGAGATTACATGAGAAAGAATGCGGTGTTTCTAACAGAAAATCTCATTTATAAAGTTAATAGATCCTCGATTTTAATCTTTGGAAATAAAATTAGAGTATTATTAAGAAAAACTATTCAGATTGGTAGATATATTAATTTATACATCCAGCATTTACCATTGAATTTTTAAAAATATATCATGAGTTGAAAATATTCTCGTACTTATTGATCTCTATGTATATTGCAGAATGATATCATTGATATCTGCTTCATAGGTGTTCTGAGAATAATGTGTCACGACGAAGAAAGCTCAGAGACGATTGGTCTCTTGTATAATACGAGATTACAGGTTGTACTGTGAGATCGAAGGCGCGCGTTTCTAATAGAAAATCTCGTTTATCGAGTTGGCAGACCTTCAATTTTAATCTTTATTAGAAATTAAAGTATTATTAAGAAAAGCTTAAATTTAAATGAATTCAACATTTTTACATATAGATTCGATGTCAAATTTTCAAAAATATACTACAAATAAAGAATATATTATATCACGTTTTTTGATTTTTATGTACGTTGTAGAATTATTTAATTGTTACATTTACTCTGATAAATACTGTAAAAATAAAACAACGAGAAAAGAAACTTAGAAGCGATTGGATCCGCAATATTGAAATTGTATAACTCAAAATTGCAATGATCCAAAGAAAGAAGGCTTCTTCGAAAAAGATTTCATGGTTGGTAAATCTTCAGTTTTAATTTCTACGGGAAATAATAACGATGTGTGATGTTGGAAAGGAAGTACAGATTATCCAAATCTGCAATCGGAGCGTTGAATTCTCAAAAACCCGTCCGGCCAGCCAAAAGGCTGTTTCCTCACGGAGGCTCTCGATCTCCTACGTTACAGAACGATCTCGTTGGCGTCCGCTCCGCTAAAGGGTCCTGAGAACAAAGCGGTTACGATAATCGGCGTGAAAAAGAGATTCGAGACGGGCGGTCCCACGTACGTGTGTAGACGTGTGTGAGTGTATTTCCTGAATGAAAATCCATAACCGGACCGCGACGCAATGCGGTCCCCTTTCATTCCGGGGACCGTTCGAGCACTCTCGGTTTCGTTTTCTGCAAAGGCGCCCGGTCGCAACTCGTTGCGCACGGCATATGCGGCAGCGGCTTGCCGGGCACGGGGAAAGGTTTTCCCTCCCCCTCCGGCTTGGTACCGCGGGGGTCTTACACCCCACCCTTTCACCGCGTTCACCGCCACCTGTACAGGTCGACCGAGACTGGAGAATGGGACCAGGACCGCCGGTTCTCCAAGTTGAAAAGGAATGGTAGTGAGAGTCCGAGAGCCCGCAGCGGTAGCGGAGGGAGGAAAGGGTACTCGCGAGCGAAGCTGTCGCGACTGTCGAGAGCGCTCGCTCGCCCGCTCGTTCGCGCTCGTGCGAGCGCGAACGCGCGGCCACTTTAATGTGAAAGTAAGTCTTACAGTTGACCGAAAACTGCGTGCCCGTCGGTGCTCTCGTCGGTTATCCGCGACCGACGTGCCATGCCGTAGCGTGTTGCTCCGTCCGTATCGTGTGATGTACATACCCGTACGGCTCCGATCGACCGGTTCCACGGCCGCGGTCAACACGCTGTAATAAAAGAAAAGAAAAAGGGGGAAAGGAGAAGGAAGGGAAGAAGGAAAAGGGAGAAGAAACGGAAAAAGAGATCCGCTCTAATTGCCTCGCTAATTAATTACCGTATCGACAGCGCGAGTTGACTCATCCTACGGCACACGCAATATTTCAATCGCGGCCTATACTCCTCGACTTTCTATACACACTTGTCCGACGTTCCCTCATCATAATCAATCTCACCGACCGTCAGCTGTCCTTCAGGTCGCGCCTATTTTTGAAGGATTCGGTCCACGAGACGAGAGACCGTAACTGCAAGAAGAGAAAAGAAAAGGAAAAAAAAGGAAGAAGCACAATAACGACGAGAAGATACGTGAAATTTCACGCGGAGGATCGACCATCACCAATCGAATATATATATATATATATATATATATATACATATAATATATATATATATAT